GGCATTTTAGCAGTCTGACAGAAAGAAGCAGCAAATAGTTTATCTGTGTTTTTCAGGCTGTGACTTGTAGTCACAGTACTATGCTTTGACCCAGATTGTGGCGTGACAGTGACACATGGCCAGGTGCTGTTCTGGTGTTGGGGGGAACATTAGTCCTAGCTCATTAATCATAATGGGAACGCTTTCTAATCGCAGGGCAGGGCCTCACAGCATGTTTCCCTTTCTGCGTCTTCTAAATGACCCAAGGCCATTAGCCATTACAGGATATACACAAAATGTGCAAAGAAAGTAGTTTCTTTTGTTGATTTTGATTTAATTACATATGGACCCAAAGCAGGCCTGGGGAAGGGATCAAAACTAAATTACTGTAAAGAAGAAAAAATGAATATATATCAAAAGATGGAAACAACCAAGTGCTGATGACATGTTACAAACTGGATAAGGAAAATGTGATGTGCAGCATACTGTCACGGCGAATGAGAAGAGCCGTGTGGAAAAGGAAAAAGAGGATCCAAACGCAGGCAGCCGTGAAGGTGTGAAGGTGATTTATTGAACACGAAATATAGAAAGGCAAACGGCGAAACGGAAAACTAAACTATACTGGGACAACTAAACTACAGAGCATGAACAAGAACATGAACATAAAGGAAGGAAGGAAGATGATGGTACATGATGGTGACAACAGGGAACACACGGATGAAACATGGTGGGAACGCAGACGGACCAGCAACTACGATGACAGAGGACACGACTTAAATACACACAGAGAAACATGGGAATTACACACAGGTGGTGGACACAGCTGGGAATAATCAACAAGACGAGACAGAGGGAAAACTGAACACACTCACATGAGACGCAAACCTTCACAATAAAACAGGAAACGAGAACACTACACCAAGACGCAGACCTGGGAGACAGACAGACAGAATGACACATGGAACCTGAACTAAACTAAATGTGAGATACAACCGAGAACAAATCCTTAACATGAATAAACAGAAACCTAGAATTCTAATAATAATAATCCTCATAGTGCCCAAAACCACGACAATTATTCAAAAATAAACTAACAATCCAAAACTCAAAATACTGGGTCGAAACTGACCCAGAACCATGACACATACAGCTGAAATGCTACATATTTCTGAAGAAATTGTTTTGCACAATTTATAAATTACATTTAGGATGAATTTAAATAAACTTTGATACAATTGCCATTATCCATCCAAACACAAATCATATGAAAAGTCCAAGAGCTATTTAAACTAGGATCATGCACATTAACAACTGGGGTATAACATGTGTCAGTTTTTCATATTCATGTGACTTGTATGTTTAGGACAGCAGGGCCTCCGAGGTGTAGAGATGTGTGACAGCATGCCCTGACCCTGCTGCTCCCAAACTGTAAATTCTAAACAGAGGCTGCTCCTTCATGCAATCACACGCACACACAAAGGCCTAGTTCATATTTAAGATGAATTTCTCAAGATCTAATCCCCACATACTTGTAAACCCACCTATACACAAACACACACAAAAACACACACGAACCACGATAATTCGGCCTGGCAGATAGCCAGCCAAGCCATAGTGAGCGGTGTTTACAAGGCTGTGACCGCATCACCAGCTCCACGCAAATTAGCCTTCTTACCTGGGGTGAGCAATCTTAAGAAACAGCAGCGAGAGCCCGGCCCGGGCTGCTGATCAAAGCTTCATCAGCATCTAATGAGGTTTTATCATGAATGCACATTGCATGCCCTGTGGTCTCACACCTGGTTATAATGGAAAACCTCAACCTGGGAATGCGAAGCACATTTTTTGCTGTTTATAAGTTACTAAAAAACTGGTCAAAGTTATACCATCTGTTATCATAGTTCATTAAATTGTTCAAATTTTATATATAACAATAAATTTAGTTGTTAACAGACAAGTTTCCTATAAATAAACTGAGATATCAAATCCTAAAGTTCTTCCTCACAGGTCGTCATGTTACCTAAAGCTGCCCTAATTGATATTTGTATATTAGCAAGAGATGAATAACAACCTCTGGTGTGAAAGGTTCCTGTATGAGTGTGAAACTCACAAAAAAAACTTTCTCCAGACTTCCTTTCAGTTTGTGGATATTGTAGCAACCTCTCCATTGCAAGAACACGGGCAGCTTAACGAGACTTTGAGCTGCATGCCATGGAGGGAGAGAGAGAGATATGTTTAATAACAGAGATGTTTCATTGTCAACCAACTTATCAACATAAAATTTATAAATATAATGTTAATAATATTAATCACAATACAAATATCTAGCGAACGATTCCCTGCCAGACAGAGATATTGTGTGATAGATAGCATGTGGTATGAAAGATTGCCTGTATCCTTCCTTGTGGCAGCAGAGCTCAATCAGTTTATTAGAGAAGTTGCTTTGCTACCTGCCCAGTAAGTATTGCTCATAGTGGGCAGGATTGTCTGTGATGGAGAGCAGTTTGGTCAGTCACCTCTTCTCCATCACAGCTTCAGAAGTGCTATATTTTACTATAATAATGCACTCCCACTGCTCTCACATTACTGTGTTCAGGTAAACCTCTGAGGTTAGCACATAACTAGCATTTAAAACAT